ATAGATAGATAGATAGATAGATAGATAGATAGATAGATAGATAGATAGATAGATAGATAGATAGATAGATAGATAGATAGATAGAACATTTAGTATAGTATTTATATAAAGAGTATAGTAGGGTATAGTTGTATCCCACAGAGTTGTAAACACAGGCAATGCAATAGAAAGAAAAAAAAGAGAATACACATAACTAATATATATATATATATTTAGTCCATTCCATTCTAAAACATACATACATGTACATCCACATATGTCAAATCTGCATTCCTGTTGCATTTGTAAGGTATTGCACTTAAACAGATAAATGATTCCAGTACAACAAGAACAAGAGATCAAATTTATGGATCAAATGCATCAGCCAGACACATAAAGGGTCCAGGTTGAGCTGTAATTTGTTGAGCAGTGTGATAGAAGAAAACATGGTTTCAAACTGTTGCTCTTATATTTGGAACCCACAACCATCCTCCACCACAACGTCCCCTCCACACACACACACTGTGAAAAAAAAAGGCTGATTCAGTCAGACTGGCCACAGCTGCGCTCTGTATGTCCACTGAGAAAAGTGTTTTTGTGTGTCACTATGTGCTCTCCCTCTCAGACCAGGGGTGTCTTGTTAAAAGGGGGGCCCTGGTTACATTAGAGCTACAGGGTCTTGTGTTTCTGTCTGTTGTTCTGGAACAAAACAAAAAAAGAAAAAAGAAACAAACCCCCAGCTGAGCGGACGGATAACATCTCTCTGTCTCCCCCGGTGCCAGAAAGTGAAACGTCAAAGATGCTGTGTGTCTCTAATGCTTCATTAATCATGCAGATTCAGCTGAGCCCGAACCAGGTCAGGCAGGCTTTTGTCGGGGTGGGTGTGTGTGTACATACGTGTGTGGCTTTTCATGACTTAAGGAAGCCTAAATAATTCAGTCGGTGGGGCAAGGTGCTTGAGGAATCTCAAATGGCCCTTGCACTCCGTGTGATGGAAAACACTCAAATCTGATCAGCCGGATTTGCTTTCACACTCACACGCGCACAGTCGCACAGGATGAGGAGCTGGTGTTGTGTTACTTATGAGTTTTCCTTTGTGTGCAGGTCTAGAAGAAGCCCACCGCCGGGACAATGAGCTCAGTGTTATTAAGCACACTTTCAATAGTCTAACTCTTGCTTTCTCTCTTTGTTCCTCTCTCTGCTCCAGTTCCTCCAGTTCCCTTATTGAAGCGTCCTGGTGGCGCTGCCCAGCCGTGGCCCATCCACACCCACCCTGCAGGACACGTCCACCGGTCCCACTTCCCTCCTCCTCTTCCTCCTCACCTTCCTCTCTTCCACACCCGCCACGCAGAGGAGAGCGCCGAGCGGCCCCATCTGGTCACCATCGTCCGCCCGTGTGGTCAAAGCACGATACGGAAGGTGAATTCAATATTTAAACCAAGGAGTAGAAACGTGTTCAACAACCTACAAGAAAAGTCTAGTTGCTTTATTACTGGGATTACCAGGACCTGAAAAAGTGAGAATCTAAAGTAGGGCACTCTCCATGAAGGGTTTACAGACTGTGACACAGTAAAACACAGATAAATCCACCTAAAAGTGCTTCTTATTAACAGGTTATAATCGATCTTTATAGCTTCAGTAACTGACTAGCCATTGCTTTCTGAAGACTCCTATTATGTGATGAACTCCTTGACTATGCTGTGATTTTTGTCTCTCCGTGCTCACAAGGTGACAGTGCTGTTGAACCGCAGGGGCGTGGTGTCCTTCGAGCAGCTGCTACTGGATATCTCGGAGGCGTTGGGGTTTCCTCGATGGCACAGAGCCAGAGTTACACGCCTTTACACGACACATGCACGAGAGGTGAGGCCCAGCCGAGACCAGGTTAACTGACAGACCCTATGAACCTCCTGCATTCGTAACAAAGCAGCATCCAGAGTTAGTACTCGGCTCTAGGTTTGCTGTGTGGCAGATTACCTCACCAGTCCTGGGAAAACTATAAGATTTATATACAAAATGTGAGTATAAATTACATTTCAGGTCCCTAAATTTTCCCAACTACACGACCTCATGTGTCCTCAGCTGTAGCTACAACCCTATACGGCCTTCCTTCACAAAATGAATCAAATATTTAACCTGCTAGAAATTCCCAGGGCAAATAATTCGTGCTCTGCCACAGTAAAGTTCCTGTCTTTGCACTCTGCACAGTTTTCTACACTGGAAAAGTACTGAGCCCCAGATTGTGCTCTTACCATGCAACAAGCAAGCACAAATCATGACACAGGGTCCATCTTTAAGACAGATTTGGTAATGAAGGAGGATATAGTTGTGTAAACAAACTTGAAATAATTAGTACAACCCATTGACAAAGACTTGTTTTTGAGGTTTTAGCTCCCCAGCATAGCACCCAACTTTGAGCTGTTGGTCAACACACCTTTATCCCAAATCCGCCAATATTAATTGAAGTACATTAATTACTGGAGGAACATTTTTTGGGCTATTAATATAAGATACAAACAGCCTTGGTAGATAAAAGTGATTCACTTTTCTTTACGAGACAACATTATTGCACTGTAAGGCCAATTATACAGTCGTGACTCAATAATCCGACCCTTAACAATCTGAAAACGTTGCTATCCAACAGGTTTTTTAGGAAAAACTAACGGAACCCATTAAAAACAGTCTTAACATACAGCCTTGGATTCCGACTCCAACATGACATTTTCTGTCACAAATAAGGATAACGGTGTATTATCTGACTGAACAATCCGACAGATTGGCTACGTTCAGACTGCATGATTTAATGCTCAATTCGGATTTTTTTGTGAAATCTGATTTTTTTTTTTGCGAGTTCGTTCACATTTCCAGTTAAATACGACTTGTATGCAATCTGCGGTGTGAACTTCATACGACCCAAAAGTGTCCCGCATGCACAGAAGAGGACACGACGACATCACACGCCGCAAGTGTGCTCAGTGTTTGAGGAAGCAAACACGGATGGTGTATCTGCCACTCCCTTTTCGCAACCGATGGTGGAAACAGAACTGTGACCGCTAACTAAACTAGCATCATCAGCCAAATACTGCCTGTGCGTTCCGGCCACTTCCACCCCGTCAGAGCGCTCCCCCAGGGGTGGAAGTGTCCCCTGACCACGCCGAATATTCTGATATTCATTAACTGGGCCTGAATATCCAGAGACCAGAAAGTGCTATTCGGACCAGCCCTACTAGTTATTATAACAACTATGAACAATAAATAACAACAAATAACCCTTCAAGTATCAAGCCCTTCTTGTATCTCGACCTCCGTCTTGACAATCCGACAGCCTTGCTATCTGACATAAAAGAAGGTTTTACATTAAGTGTCGGATTATCGAGTCATGATTGTATTTACTTGGGGGTTTTATACACATCAGTGGGTGAGGTAGCTAAAAAGCAAGACAAGAGTACAAAGCAAAAGAGTGAAACAGTTTTTAAGAAGTGTATAAAACAGGTTAATAAACATATATACAGCTACCACTGTTGAATGGATGAATATCGTAATATCATTGATCCCTTCACTCCCTAAATGTCCCAACATTGGACTCCATGTCTAATCAAACAGTCTCTAATAGCTCTGGGGGAAAATCAAGATTGTTTAAAAACTTGTTCCATTTTTGTTTTTTACTCTTTTTGCCTTTTATCTCAACACATCCATATGGTGTTTTTTATACACTGGAAGACATATTATAAGCCACATAAGCAGTCAACACCCTGACTGAACATTTCCACCTTGAAATTGCAGCACACAAATGACGGCCTCAAAAACACAGATTCAGACTTCCAGGGTTTCACACATAACAAATCAATGCCGTTAGCTTGCAGGGTGCAACTTTCTGTGTCATTGTTCTTTAGAATCAGTTTTTACTTGGAGCAATGAAATACTTGATGTTACAGTTGTTAAGTTGCCATCGTGTTGCGTGGAGCAGTTTTACAGTAGAGTCGCAGGTGAGCTGGTGTGCTCGAGCTGCAGCGAGTGGGGAGGGGTGAGTGGAGAGAGTCGGGGATGTCATGGATATGCACAAGCAAGAGGAAGTAACTGCAGATACAAGTCATCTTCAAGCAGAAAGGGATTACTATCCTGTGTTTTTCAAAAATTATTTCTTCTATTCACACTGCAAGGCTGAGAGACTCATCATTCTCCACTGTTCTCTGTGTTGTCTGTTTCACTGCCATGCGTCTGCAGCAGAGTAACACCTTTTCAGATTATATTGCAGAGAACAACAAACAACAACAAATCTGGTGCCTGGTAGTTTAAGACTATGTCTAAATAGCCATTCCCTCTGTTTCTATCGTAGGTTAAAGGTGTGTGTGATTTCTTCCGAGGCGAGGTGGCCTTCCTGGCTCTCGGTAAGGCTCGTCCTGAGCTGAGCGGCGTGCAGGACGCTCTGGAGGAACTGTTTCCTGAGCATTCGCATTACCGAGCCGAAGCACTGCGGGCCTGGGAGAAGAAGCTCCGGCTGACACCAGATAAAGCTGCCAAGGCTGACAGTGGATACAGCGAGGGGACAGACAGCAGCGGGACTAACCAGGAGACGCACCGAGACACAAACACACATGTCAAGAATCACACCAATGCTCACACGTCTCAACATACAGACACACACCACACCCAAAACTGTCATTTAGACTCTCAGAAGCCTCATAAAAAGAATTCATGCAGAAAACCTGCTCTCCTTCCCAACCACCTGCAGAGACTGCATGTCAGAGGCGGAGTCAGGGAGAGACAACCTTCAATTATTGGCCCATTCAAACATGAGGAGGGTCTCAGAGAAGCAGACATCCCATCTCCTACACTGTGTGACAAGTGCTTAGCGAGAAGAGGTAAACATCAGGGTCCAGAACTGATCAGTTCACTATCAGGGAGGGTCCCACTGCCTCCTGTGTCAAGGAAGCAGAGAGGAAGTTCTCATATAGAGCAGGAAGTGAAAAATCTGGATCATTTCAACGACCCTCCAGCTGCTCGGCCAATCAGCAGAGATGAGGAGAAGAGCCTCGTACAAGTTTCAAATGCAGCTCTGGATGAAAACAAACAGACCAAGGCGACCTTTGACCTCCCCTCAGACGGCAGCGACGTCACACTGGAGGACATTGAGCGCTGCTACGACATCGGACGCGTGGTCGGAGATGGGAACTTTGCGGTGGTGCGAGAGTGCCGCCGTCGTGACAACAGCCAAAACCTCGCCTTGAAGATCGTGGAGCGCTCCAAGCTGATCGGTCGAGAGCACATGATGCAGAATGAGCTGAGCCTGCTGGGTAGCCTGTGTCACCCCCGGATAGTGCGGCTGTTCGCCCACCACCACACGCACACCCACTCCTACCTGGTGATGGAGCTGGTGAGCGGAGGGGATCTGTTCGAGGCCATCAGCGACAGGGGCAAGTTCCCAGAGGCGGAGGCAGGACTGATGGTGTCGGACGTGAGCGAGGCCCTGAATTATATCCACTGCAAGAGCATCGTGCACAGAGACCTCAAACCAGAGAACCTGCTGGTGGGTATCTGGGGTTAGAGAGAGTGGAGTACTCATTTTCTGGAGTTTTTGGGTGAAATTATCTCATTTTCAGCCAATAAATCTCAGCGGCTGGATATGAGGATAATCTACTAGAAGCTGGAGCTGAGGAACAGCATCAAAAAATCTAAAAATAGTCACTTTAATATCAGTGAATCTTATCTTAAATCGCAATAAATTCTTTTTTCTGTATTGTTGCTTTGGTAATAATGCAAAGAAATGCACTATTGCAGTCAGATCAATGTGTTTTTTTGACAGTGGCACGATTTCTGTAATGTTGCCTCTATACACCACCATAATGGATTTCAAATAAAGCTCTACAAGACGTGACTGAAGTGTAGATTTCCAGCTTTGCTTCAAGAGGTTTAACTAAAATATTGCATTAAATGTTTCGGAATTACAGCCGTTGTTTCATACTTCCCACATTATCACAGTCTCAGGAGTAATTGGACAACTAACTCATAAGCAGTTTCGTGGCCAGCCTGTTTCCTCATTATTTCACGACAAATTAAGGAGATAAATGGTCTGGAGTGAATTCCAAGAGTTGAATATGCATTTGGCAGCTGTTTGTGGCAACTTTCAATATGCGGTCCAAAGATTTGTCAGTGCAACAGCAGGTGGGCATTATTAGGCTGAAAAAAAACAACAGACCTATCAGAAAGACAGCAGAAACTTTTGGAGGAAGAGGACTTGAAATCCATTGTGGTGGTGTACAGAAGCACAATTACAAAAATTGTGTCACTGTCTGAATACTTGTGGACACGTAAGACATCAGATTGAATAAAATATGATTAGAACCTAATTTATCTTATTATTTGTTGGTGCAAACAGTAAAGCCTTAAAAATGTTTGAATATAACCACAATGGTAAATACATCACAATTTATTGTATTTCTAAATTCAAAAATAGATAAATTGTCATTAGAAGACACCTTTGTTACATTTTGACAGTAAAAAGAGACGTATTATTAAATATAATCTGTAAAGCAGTCATAAGGTTTACGTTTTAACCCCAAGCATTGTCTGGGTGTTTTTTTTGGTCCTGGTGCACTTTTAATCGCTGTGGACAAATTTTTCACTACAATAAAAAGCCCTGCACCTCTATGGAAACAGCACCACCATGGCTAGAAGTTGAAAGAATTCAAAAATGTTTTCTATGCAGTATGACACAAATATAATGCTATAAATCTTTTTTTTTTTTTTGATTTTTCAAAACAAAAGGATTTTAAAAACCTGGAATCAACATGTATGACCCTTTTATTCAAGTGTCCAGAGGTGTTGCCAAGACTCGAAAAAAGGGTGACTCTACATGCGACAGATACTTGCATTTTATTGCATTTCTATTCTTGTCTCCTCTCTCTGTGTAAACACAGCCTGCTGTTCAGAAATCTCTGAATTTTTGTCATGTGACTGTCATAGCTGAATCACTCAGAGCTTTTCGGTCGTGCTGAGGAGTGCAAGACGTTTAGCTTTTATCTTTTACAAAATCTGATTAGTGCAAACTGTTAATTTTTTTAGATTCTTTTAAATAAAACGTACAGGATAAATAGATTTTGATGAATATCACGTTTTAAGCTTAGATTTGGCTGTTTGACAAAACAACATATTACAGATGAGTAGATTAAAAGTCTAAAATCCAGTGGTTATTTTTCTTTTTAAAGTTTCTCTCTTTGATAAATGGGGTCATTTGCGTTTTTTTCTTTCAAAAGAAAATATTCTTTCAAACCCAGGGCTTAAAGCAGGGGTGTCGAACTGCGGTCCTCGAAGGCCACAATCCTGCATGTTTTAGATGTTTCCCTCTTCCAACACACCTGATTCAAATGATCAGCTCATCATCAAGCTCTGCAGAAGCCTGATAACGATCCTGATCATTTGAATCAGGTGTGTTGGAAGAGGGAAACATCTAAAACATGCAGGATTGCGGCCCTCAAGGACCGGATATCGACACCCCTGGTTTAAAGGGTTGAAGTCATTATTATGTGTTTAACTTGAAGCACAAGATAAATAAGATGGAACCTTGAGCAGAACCTTTGGTGTTGATGCACAGATGAAAAAGTCCTATTAGCGAGGCAGCAGCGGAACCACTGCAGGACCGACCCAGAGACACAGTCTGAATCTCTTGATTAAGATACTCAAATAGGGAATATTATTCATGTGGTGGGAGACTCGTATCATATATTAAACAAACTTACTATCTAGCTTCAGGTGGCAGGAGTCAGAATTCAGCTACAACTTTTTTCAGCTGCTACCAGTGCTCATGTTCATCGAACCTAACGTGAAGGTGGAATTAATCGTTTTTGACACAAAGTTGAGTCAATAGTTCAGTAGTTTGCAAAATCCAAAATGCACAAAAATATGTGGCAAATGTGGATGCCCTAGGAACTGTTTGCATATATTATATAAGCTCAGCTCTGCCTCTATCTTGTTTTTCTTGTTCTGTTTCCCAGATAGAGCAAGTGGCTGCAGGCATCTGTAGGCTGAAACTGGGAGACTTTGGTCTGGCCATGGTAGTGACTGAACCAGTCTTTACCATATGTGGCACACCCACGTATGTAGCCCCCGAGATCCTCTGTGAGACAGGTAAAGGTCATAATGTCCCTCCTGTTTCTGAATTTGTTTCTTCAGTGTTTTCTTATTCTGAAAAGATTTGTTTGTGGTTTTGCCCATTAGGTTATGGTGTAGCAGTGGATATATGGGCTCTGGGAGTGATTCTCTACATCCTGCTGTGTGGCTTCCCCCCATTTCGCAGTCAGGATCGGGACCAGGAGGAGCTGTTCCAGCTAATAAAGCAAGCGCAACTTCATTTCCCGTCCCCCTACTGGGACCCCATCTCAGAGGGTGAGATGTATAGATATGCACTGCGTGCTGACACAAATGTAATCTATACACACAGCCGCACATAAATATACAATCTGTTTTTCGTGTGTGTGTTTGTGTGCAGAAGCTAGAGGCCTTGTCAGAGCTCTGCTTCAGTCGGACCCCACAGTGAGGCTGACGGCAGAGCAGACCCTCCTGCATCCCTGGGTGAAAGCTATGGCTTCGATGTGCAGGCAGAGGGCGCTCACAGACAAAACTCAGAGGAACACCACAGCAGAACCAGAGAGAGTCCAGACAGCAACTCAAACAAACACAGCCGAACCACTGAGAGACAAGGGAGGAATCACACCGAAAGAGCTCATCAGACACGATGAGATGAACACAGGAAGAGGGCAAGATGAGAACAAACCGCCGCAGCCACAATCAAAGGAGACGAGCGCAGTCCACATCATGTCTCCATCATTTAAAGAGGCCACACCTGGGTCCCCTTTGCAAGAAACACAGGATCCAGATCCAAACACAAACTGCATTGATCTCAATCATCTCAGCTCCCCAGCAGCCCAAACTGAGCCTCCATCGATTAGGACACATTCAAAACAAACCAGCCAACATCCGTCACCTCCAGATTCACCATCTCCAACCAACACATCTCAGCAAACCACAGCGCGTCAACACAACCCATCCTCCGACCCGGCGGCAGTTTCTCCTACTCAGTCTCCTCATCAACACAACTTAGTTTCTCCACCCAACCACCCAAGCAAAAACCATAAGGAGCAGAGCGGTCACACCACCATCAGCCATCCACCCACACAGTCCTGATATCGCTGTTAATCTCCCGTTTGACCGTGTGATTAGATCAGGGTCATCACTCTGCTTGTTCCGGACATTACCGCTGAATCTTGGACTGACCTGCAGATGGTGTGATTTACTCTCCTGGGATGAATGGGGTCTGATTGATGGAGCTGGATACATCTCATAAATGTGTGTAATCCATTTGTCCTGCAATCATAAATTAATCATGAGATGTTATGCAATGGCCGAGGTATGAATCTGTCTGCGTAAGAGGAGGATGGGAAGTAGTAAAGCAAAGCACTGTGAGTTTGTCATTTAAAAAAAACAAAAAAACGTGTGGTGTATAAATGAAAACACATTTTTATTTTACTTTTGTTTTGTTCTGCAAACCATGTTGAGGATATCGTCTGTTGACACTGATCCATCCTCGTTTTATATTCCTAGAAGTCTATCTTAGGATCATCCATCTTGCAACAGTTGTTTACTACATGATTACAAAATAGCTATTCAGAGGGCTGTTGTTTAGTCTCAGTAAATTCTTCCACGCCATCTTTCTGACAGTGTGTTTATTGCACTTATTTTGAACTGGGTTGGGTTGGCATCAAACTGATTTGAATTAATATTACTCACATTGTGTGATGACAAATCTGAGTAATTTAAAGTGTGGTATGATCCAGTGGCTAATAGTGGGGTTGGCTTAACACTGAGGACAGTTTGTGACCACATACAGCTACTGGGTAAAGCTGTGTGTGCATAGCTGAGGGTGGCATATTGCTCTCTTGCCATTCCACACAGACCAAATAAGGCATATCTGTCTGTCCAATGGGAGTGGTTAGTCCTGTCCCTCCCGATTGCAGACAGCTGACACTCTGACATCCTGCCCCACCCACCTAAACACACACACACACACACACACACACACACACACACATACATACACACACAACCCCCCATCCTGTGCACATACACTCCTGCTAAACCATATATCTGGGCCACGGATGGCATGAATAAGCATATAAATGCATATGACCTACTGTGAGCACCTAAGGGTAGGGTGAGGCTTTCTTCCATCACCCTGTTTTCCCAGATAAATTATTTGTGCATCTTCATCTCCCAAACAAACACAGGGTGCCTTATAACCGGTTGAACCACTGAATTGCAGTGACAAGGCCATAAACATGCAGAGAGCATACCAGAGCACCAGAAACAGGGTGTTTTTAGGTTTAAAGTTGAGCTTCTGCTGCCACACAGGCTGCTGTTGGGGTGATATAATATGTAAATGTGGCTCATGAACATTTAAACTATATGGAGGATGGGTGCTTTAGTAGAGTAGCCTAAATTTGTCGCATATCAGGTTTTGGTCACCTTTCAAGTCCTGCCATACTCTGACCCGCAGGTGCTCACTACGCATGCGCCTTTAAAAACTCTTTAAATACCCCAAGTCATCTGCCACAACAAAACATTCCGCTGTCAGCCAATTCACGGCTCTGTTCAAGTGTTACCGGCGCTCAGAGGCCCTCACACAGACAGGAAATATATTTACTTTCAGATACGCAACTTCTGTGACTGGCCACAATCGAGAACCTGCCCGAGTAATAACGAAACTGACCCGGAGTCTGTGCAGGGTGAAGTCGGGGGAGACGGACAGGAAAAAAACAAAGATGGCTGTGTAGCCAGAGAGACAAGTCCCAACAGAACTGTCTCTATCCGCGGCTTTAATCACCGACACGTCCCGTGGGTCCCGTGGACAGTCAGCCGGTACCGGAGCAGGGACGCAGGGAGAAGCCGAGCTGAGCCGCTGGTGCACATCGTTGTAATCTGCTGTCATTGCGAATAACGGCGTCGAGAGTGCAACAACAGCTGAGAGTTGTTTTTGTTCTGCTGGGCAAAGGGAGAGGACTGCTGTGTTTTTGTCAACGCAGCTAGCCGCATAGTCTGCTAGCCTCACTGTAAGTCAACAAAACTAGTCGACATTTAATCTAACAGATAGTCATAATTACATTTTGCACATGATCTCGTTATTACATTTCGATTGGCTTGTTAAAATCCCAGTTGGTACGTGTATGGTGGCATTAATAATAAGTTAGCTGCATTCCTTCCTGACAGCCTGCTGCCGAGGCGTTAGCTTAGCTAACGTTAGCTTGCTGTCAGCTGACCGTTAGCTTGACAGGTTGTAAGCTAGCCCTGAGCTAACCTGCTAATATTTCGGGCTCAGCCTGGTCGCGGCAGGTACATATCACAAATTTTGAGACAGCCATCGCCATGTCTTCACTGGAAGAGAGAGACGTGGGCGTTGCGGCCGCCCCTGGCTCCTCCTCGGCCGGCCTGGGGGTCGGGGCCGTGGGGGCAGCGGTGGAGGCTGTCGCCGGGGTCGCAGCCATGCAGGAGGAGGTCGGGATACGGCGAGAAGGGCCCGAGCCTGACCCAGACGAGCCACCCAAGAAGAGGGTGAAAATACCCGAGGGAGAGTCAGGGAAGCTGGAGGAGAGACTGTACTCAGTGCTGTGCTGCACCGTGTGCCTAGACTTGCCCAAGGCGTCTGTTTACCAGGTAAACGTGGTGTCAATCACAAACCTCCCCCCATAACCCTAAACTTACCGTCAAACATCAGCAAACCAGCTGAAGCTCATAACAGGAGCTCACCATGAGTCACAGCCCCAGATCCCCACCTTCAACCTGTTGAATGTGTTGGCCAGCTCCATTTATTTTTAGTGATACTGGATCCAACACAGGCCCTATACTGAGTGTACCTATACTGCAGATTGAGCCATGAGGCTGAGAGACCAGACACAGCCAGGCCGGGTGGCCAGCTGAGTTGGCTCAAGTTTATGACATTATACTGTGAATTATCCTCAGATAGTCCTCAGCAAAAACCACATCCCCAAACCCCACACAGGAACGCAACCAAAACCTAAAGTTTAATTATAGCTTTTGCCCTTCCCTCCAACCCACCGAACATTGTCCTTAATGACCTCAAACTGCTGTCCTCAATGTCAAGTGAGCACATTTGTAATCAATCATTGTCAGTCGTCAACATTCACATACCTTGCTGTGCGTTGCAGTGCACACTTCCAACATTTATGTTAAACATTTATTAACAGTGTAAACACATGTCCACATTCTTTCCGTACATTATATTCAGCACATAAATACATATATCCCAGAGAACACTAATGTTATTCATGTAGAGAAAATTCTAGCTCTTCCTCTATAAACACACTTTTAAGTTGCAATCTTACTGTTGTGTTTGACAGACAGTGTGATTGGCTTTTGCTCTGTTGTTGTTGGACAGCTTTAGCCAATCCACTGTGATAATTAAAATAGATTCTAAATAAATATGCCTACCCTTAGCCAAACAGAAGTGATGATGTTACCCCCAAAATTACATGTTTTGATATAAATAGAGGCTATAGTCCTGAAACAGTCCATGTTTTTTCATAAACATTTTCTCAAAGTATCTGTTTTCAAGTGGTCCTAATTAGTAGGTTTTAAATTAACCCTTATTATGCTCACATTTTGTGTCATACCATTTGACAAGAGAATATTAAATCATGTCATTCCAACTCTCTACATAGGCATATTTTTGTCATATTCCCGTCTCTTCCTGTGTAGCATCCTCAATAATTATTTTTTTCACTTCCCCCAAACCCTCTGTTTGATTGACCTTTTTCTACCACAGTGTACCAATGGACACCTGATGTGCGCCGGCTGTTTTATCCACCTCCTGGCTGACTCTCGTCTCAAGGAGGAGCAGGCCACGTGTCCCAACTGCAGGTAAACCAAGTTAACTGTACATGTAAGCACTTCGTACAGTACAAACTACAGACAGGTGACAAATTAAAGGAAAAACCTACACAAAGAGTCTTAGTGAGGTGTTTGGACTCCACGTGCTGAGAGAACAGCTTCAGTGCACCTTGACATTGATTCTTCCAGTCTCTGGAGCTCTACTGGAGGGATGGATCACAATTCCTCCAACAATATTCCCTCATTCAGTAATGTTGAGTATATATAAGCGTTCAGCGGGGTTGAGTTTAGGGCTGATTTGTGAAAGGCATCTAATTGTGATTTTTCTCTCATGTATTGCTAATAGATTTGTGATACAATTTGCTTAAAATCAAACTTCATTCCAATATTCACTGTGTAATAGATATAAAACGTGATGGAGCTTTATCACATGAGACAGCAGCAAAAGTTGGACATTAGGAAGACAGCATTCGTTTGTAAAACTTTTTTTTTTTTTGTAAGATTTATTTTTGGGCTTTTCCACCTTTAATGATAGTGACAGTGAAAGATAGACAGAGAAACATGGAGAGGAGAGTGGGAGAATGACATGCAGCAAATGAGCCGCTGGCTGGAATCGAACCCGGGCCACTGCATCGGGGACTATAGCCCCTGTATATGGGTCACCTGCCCTACCCGCTGAGCTATTCAGGCACCCAAGTTTGTAAAACTTTTGACACAACAGTGTAAAACCTGCGTCAGACACACTGCATAATATACCGCCTATATTGCAGCCTTTGCAATTTGCTGATTGCCTCGTTTCAAACTGTGATTTCCGTTTGAAATTGATTATTTGTTCAGCCCTAGTTGAGATCTAGTAACTGTGAAGGCCATAGTATATAATGGATGGGGGCACTGCCACTTTGAAACAGACCACTCCATAAAGGTGATCACGCAGAACAGCTTTGCATTGATTTGCAGTGATCCATCCCTCTAAGGGCACAAATGTACCCAAACTACGTCAGCAAAATTTTCCCCACAGCATAACAGAGCCACCACATCTCCCCACTCTAGGGGTCAAGCGTTGTTTTTTCCTCTAATTTGTCATCCATCTGTAGCTACTGAGTCACTGTGGTTAATGACTGTAGCGATGGGGTGGAGCTGAGCATCACTGTGTATGGATATTGTTACATCCAAATCACATTAAGTTTCATACTGTTAAATACCATTGAAATTTATCTCAACACAAACACTTGTGCAGCTAAATAATTTAAATTTAGGTACACATTTTGTCAGACTGAATGCTTGTTTGTTCCCTTGTTCTTTGAGTGGATAAAGTTCTTAGGATCACAAGTTACCCTTATATACACACTTTCATTTTTAATTCCTCCCATCCTAGTGTTTCATCTGGTAGACTTTATACAAACAAGATCATTTTCTCTCAAAATGCCTCATGCATTCATCACTAATGTATGGGCACAGGAAAAAACACCTTGATTAGCTTTATCTTATGGTATGTGTCTAAATTTCCACCAGCAAGTGACAAAAGCACAACTTTCCTATTACCCAGACTGCAACTCAACTCACGGCTGTGCGCTGGTCACAAACTCACATGAACATACTCTGCATGGCACAAATTTTTGCATATACCCCTACACTGAGGGATGATTTGAGGTTTTCTGTGTTTGTGTAGGTGTGAGATCAGCAAGAACCTGTGCTGCAGGAACCTCGCAGTGGAGAAGGCTGTCAGTGAGCTGCCGACAGAATGTACCTTCTGTCTAAAACAGTTCCCCCGCTCCAGCTTAGAGAGACACCAGAAAGAGGAGTGCCAAGACAGGTATACATCACACGCGCATACATACACGCACACACGCAGAAGCACCGGCCACACTTGTAGTCAACATGTTATTGAAAGTGAGAAAAGAAATGAGTTCCAGTCAAATGTTCCAAAACTATCAAATTAAACCGCTTCAAACTGTGACTGGGGGGAGTCCAGCCGCTTTCAAAAACCAAACGAAGGCGGCAGAAACAACATGTCGGCAGCGCTGTTGCGTACTCGTGTTTGTGCGCTCGTGGTTACCCAGCACAGTGTCACACGGGGTTAATGTGGGGAAGATGGAGGAGCATGTGAGCTGCTGCTTCTGAGGAGAAAAACTGCTAATGTGATTACCGACTGCGCGCTTGTGATGCTCAGGCCGTGCGTGAAATCCCATGGGGTTGTTGCTATAGCAACAGGTGACCCTTCTTAGGACAGCGGTGCCGGTGCTAGTGTTGCTATGACAACAGCCATGGCAGTCACCAGGTGTTTGTGGTCGGGTCAGACAGAAAATTATGCTGGTCTCCTGAGGGGAGGCGGTGAAGCTGCTATTCTCAGGAATGCCATCATCATTTTTTCAGGCGCTGCTCATTTGAATATGAACTCAGTAGTTAATATGCTGTAATTATAACCAGTGATTACAGGTGTTTTTGTTGTGAATCCCATTTAAATGCCTGTGAAAGAAAAAACTTTTCGGTTTAAGGGATTAATTATGTAAGCGTGGCTTTAATTAGCTTTGCTTCACTACAGAAGCTAACTAGTACCTTTCATATTTTTAGTACCTTACTTTACTGCAAGAAAGTAATGAGTAGTCATTGAAGAGCACCTCTATCCACGACGTACTTGATATGAATCTATGTCTTTCTTTCCTTGAGGTTGGCTCTCACTGAACACTTATCATTAGCGCTGCGTTAATTTGCCACAGTTCACAACCTAGGTTAATTAGTACCTTTGATATTATCACCTTCCACTCACTAAAAGTGCTCATCATAAAGCGCCTCAGTAAAGGATCTAATTCACATGAAGCCACGTCTTTGCTTCCTTTGTCTTTAACGTTCTCTTGCCGTTGTGTTGCCAGGGTGACACAGTGTAAGTACAAGAGGATCGGCTGCCCCTGGCAAGGTCCGTTTCATGAGCTGCCAGCACATGAAAGTGAGTGTTCTCATCCAACTAAGACTGGTACAGAGCTGATGGGAATTCTGGGAGAGATGGACCAGAACCACCGCAGAGACATGCAGCTCTACAACAGCATCTTTAGTCTGCTCTGCTACGAGAAGATTGGGTTTACAGGTACATACACGAAAAAAATGACATTTTAGACGCAAGTAGAGTTTGGTGATGGACTTGAGAAGAAATGATCTTAAAGTAGCACCTGCCTTACAGTAGAAATGCTGCTTTACTTTATGTCCTCTTTTTGGCTCTTTTTAACTTGTTCTCCACTTGCGTGTCCATCCAGAGGTTCAGTTCAGGCCGTACCGCACCGATGACTTCATCACTCGCCTGTACTATGAAACACCGCGCTTCACTGTTCTCAACCAGACGTGGGTGCTGAAGGCCCGCGTCAACGACTCCGAGCGCAACCCCAACCTCTCCTGCAAGCGCACCCTCTCCTTCCAGCTCATCCTCAAGAGCAAGGTACACTCACTGCTCTATCTGTCCGTGTTTATTTTTAAACAATCTCTGTGGCTGCGTGATTTCAGGGCTCCTGATGCAATGTGGAACTGGGAAATGTTTATTTAACACCTGAGGATTATTGTCATTATCAGTTAATCTTTTACGGATAATTATTTGATGTCTAAATTTCTAAACAAAACAAAACAAAAAAAACCCTCAGTGACAGTTTCAAATCCCCAGTTTTCACCAATCAACAGATGCAAAACATTTTCATTTGACAAAAACCCATAATATTCATCAGTGAGAAGCTGAAATAAAGAAATATTTTTTGTTTTCTCTTCATCCAATAACGAATCATTTCAGCAGTTCACGGTCTCTGATAAGCAACAAGAAACTACACAAGTGAGGTAATTTGAGGCAATTTAAAGAGCAGATTGCAGGCTGGCGAACCCAATAAATTATTGTGCAGAAAAAAATAAAGCAGAACTTAGATATTATGAAAAATGTGCCAACATATAGACTGCAGTCACATGTAGAGCAGTTTTTGTAAAGGAAGTTTCTACCTGCCTAAACAAACTCAAGATGGTTGTGACGTCACAAGACGGAGAAAAGCCAAACAACTGTAGGTCTAATTTAACAATCAGAAATCTGTCTCATGACACTAATTTTGACACTAAAGAAGTCAAAAAATTATATTAATATTCATATCATGGAACGCAGCTTTATAATTTTTAGCCTGCTTAGCAACAGATAACGGCTATCGGCAAGAAATTAATTTGCAGTATGAGGTGAAGTGATGGAGGGCAGGTGTCTTGGTGAGGGATCGATATTAACTTTGTGTTATGTCACAGTACAGTAAAGTTTACTACCAAATATCAGAATATAACAATACAGTTTTGGCTGTTTAATATCATGGCACTGATACTTACCCATAACAGAAACTAATGTGTGAGGATTCGCTGACATCAGTCACATCTCGCCTGTCTAACATAAACCAACACTACACTGTACGGTGCCACATGAGAGAGAGAACAAGAGCTGACTAATTTAGAAGTTTGCAAACACAAAAGAAAACTAACAGTGCACAGTTCGCATTTTCTTCGAGCTAAATCTCCGATCTGTGATCATTGCTCCCGCTGGCACCTTTACTAGAAGTTGCTGTGTTTACCTCAGGAAGTGCACCGGCAATCAGTCTCACGAGGTTCTGGTTTAGACATCCCATCTGGAACTCCAGTGCAGCTCCTGGAACATAATCTTTATGTCCAAACACAGAAGACTTCAGTGAAGTCCTGTCACTGAAACTGCACAAAACGGTCCCAGAGTTACGCCCCTCTGTTCCCCCCACTGGCCTTGCAGTGGCAGTGCAATAGTTTGTCAGCTTAATTGTCGGAATTGTTTACAATTGTATACATCTTCTTAGACGTTGATAAAGGACCTGCCCACGGAGTCTTGTATTTTCACCACACTCTTGCTGCTGAAGCTCTCCATGCTTTCTAAACTCTGGTGGTGCTCTTCACTTTTTGTTGCTGCCCATTAGCCAGATTGTAAGGAGCTTGTCTGGGTTCTTTTGGACTCTTTTGTGGAGACTAAAGCCTCCGCATCACCCAGAAACTCTTGCATTGCCACTGCAAGGTCAGTGGGAGAACAGAGGGCCATAACACGGGAAACGGAACCTCACTTTGTACGTTAGAAAAGGTGTGAACTCAGTGTCCTGACAGGCTGGAGTTTGTGCAATATGCACATGGACAATAGTTCATTGTGATAAGTGAAGCAATTAGCAAAAAGATAAATGTTCTAAAACACAGCCAGTCAGACTCACAGCCACCTACTGTTGCACAGCATGCAGAGGCAGGACTCAACCTCTAGTATGATGTGATATGACATGTTTGAGTACTGCTTAAAATGTCTGCTTTTTAATCCGAATCTCTGCCTTTATGTCTCAAAAAATAAATATTGTGCTTTGACGTTTCAAACCATCCTGTCCAAAAAGTCAGCACTGTATTTATTTATTTTTAATCAACCAGCAATTTGCTCTTGAAACATGATTGCCATTATATAGTTTGTCCACCAGAGAGCACTGACTTGTAGATTTTCAGCTTAAATTTGAGCCTAAATTGGTTCCACTGATCAAGTAACCAAACTGATGAACTGTAGTTGAAAGATTTAGTTTTTTACGTTTATGGCGAAAACTTGTGTACGTGTCAGCCTCAAGAGTCCAGCTTGTGTCGGGATCTGTGTTCACGTGTTGGACGTGTTTCCGTGTGCGCAGGTGAACTCCGCCCTGGAGTGCTCCTTCCTGCTGCTGAAGGGGCCGTACGACGACGTGCGGATCAAGCCGGTCATCCACCACCACTCCTTCAGCAACGACGCCAACGAGACCGAGTACGTCCCTCTGCCCATCTCTGACTCGGTGGAGTGCAACAAACTGCTGGCCGCCAAAAACATCAACCTGCGCTTGTTCATCTTCCAAGTCCAAAAATAAAGAGCGAGAGAAGAGATGAAGGAAGAGGAGGAGGAGGAGGAGGAGGAGGAGGATGAAAAGGACGAGGAAGAAGGAGAAGAAGCAGCGGAGTGATGGAGGGCGAGAGAGGATGCGATGATTAAAGAGAGACACCACTGAACCATTGATACCTCTTAACACCTACACACACACACACACACGCACACACATTCACATGCTCAAGCACACACACACAAACACCTTTACGCAGGGTACTCATGTTTACACACACACACACACACACACACACACACACACACACCACTAATTACACTTACCTCCTTTTACAAGATAGTGAGACCCCTTGCTCGGGAAAGCTGTGAGTTGCTATGGAGATGGGTGGGCATTGAAATGGGATGGAAGGGTGGGGCGTTGGCAGTGTTGGCGGCGGAGGAGGAAGGGGGGGGGGTTCCGAGACGGTTGGTGTGTACCTGTGGTTTGTGACCGACCTTTTCACCCGTTACACCCACAGCCAAAGGTAGCACACACACCAACCAAAGCAGGGTTTGCTGGATGTCGCGTGCATGTTTCTGTGTGTGTGTGTGTGTGTGAGACAAACAGAGTTCAGCGACGGACGCCGGAGCGCAGCCCCGAACTCTGTTTGCATGTTCAAATGTCCCAAAGACGTGATAATGTGAAAACAGAGTGACTGACTCTACTGAGCTGTTCTTTGGACACGTGAATGGAGGTGGAGGGCATGTACGTGTGTGAGGGTGAGTGTGTGTGTGTGTGTGTGTGTGCGTGTGTGTGTTTTCCCCTCTTTCTCTACACACTTTACGCCCGTCAACTGTTTCCTTCTGTTTTGGCAAAAGCGACCACTTTGCGTGTCGGACTTTGCCATAATAGATGAAAGTTCCCCCCTTCCACCTTTCATCAAGAGGAGAGACGGCCTGGCTGCATGCATATTTTAGTTCTTCGGATTATTCCTCCAGCTGTGGTTATATTTAACCTCCAACACTAATACCATTTTTATTTCTCTTAACCCTGAATATTTAAGTACCTGTGAACTTTTTTCTTTTTAGTTGGGTTTTAGCGTGTGAATGGCTGCCTGTTTGCGTGTATGTGTGTGTGTGTGTGTGTGTGTGAACAGATCATAACTGTGAGTTCCTTGTGAACATGTCCCCACGTGAACAACTGTACAATCCTCGAGGACATAACTAGCAAGGCTGGATTACCACCAAAACCTTCAGGGGCCCCGGTTTCACCGTGTCGGTTGCTTTTTGGTAATTTATTCACTCTTTAATTAGTTGGGAATTTGCACTGCTGAAGTGAAATATCAGCTGGGTGACACATTATAACAATCTTTTTAGGTTTAACACTTTGGGTAAATTGTTTGAGCTCATATTAAAATTACATTGTGAATTTTTCTTTCTTTTTTTTTTTTAAAAAACAAAGTTGTTTATTTCACTGTTTGTTTTGTCCAAAGCCATTTTTGAAATTGCCTGATTTCAAAAGTAATCAAACCAAATTAAACACTCCTCACAACGTCAGTAAAAATGTTTTTTTTTTTTTTGCGAAGTTGGGTTTCATCAAATTACCACAAACCGACTGACCTACAGAAATTTTGGGGACACGTTGTATTGCAGTATAAGAGAACGGACTCTACATACAGTGTGGGCACGGCACTTGATGGAAAAAAATGCGGAGGCAAAGCATCACTTTCTTGTTGCCTCCAGCCACCAATTTTTGCTTCTGGCCCCACGAGGACAAGTCGAGAAAAAGCCCAAACTGTGAGAGTCTCGGGGCGAATGGGACTCTGAGATCAGCAGCCCTCTAGAGAAGACTTCTGTTTTTTTGTTTTTTTTAGGGGGGGGCGGCGGAATCTGACATTAGGTGGTGATGGATGGTGTGTGTTTGCGTTTGTGTGTGTGGCAGGGGTGGCAACGGGGAGGGGTTTACCTTATCATGGTGACATATTAGTGTTAGACTTACTTGAACGAAAACGAGAAGATGTTACTTAAGTAGATCCTACTGTAAAGCAGATAGATCTCTCTCCTCCTGACCTCTACTTCCTGTATTTCTGTGTTTTAATGCTTTGTCTCTATGCCAGTGGACTCACTCATCTCACTATTGGCTGTACATGTGCCTTTTATTAAAGATCATGGAACCTGCTCTGCTGCCTCTGCGTGTCTGAATGTAAGAAAGAACAAAAATAGGCCTGGCCCCCGTGAAAGCGTCGGTCTGTATAAATTATGCATTCAGCGCCGCGGTTATGAAATCTAAATTTAATTTTAAGGCCTAGCGTGGATGATGGATATGTTTCATTGAATTTGATGGGAGGGAATATGAATCACTTTCAGTACAAAATGAATTACCCGGCATCGGAACAATAACACATTGGCACTTATTGCTTGCATAAAAGTGGGCATATCGCAGCAGTGTAAAATGTCGGCTGTCTGAAGACTTTAAAAGGGAGCGTTTTATGTAATGTGATGGGGCCTGTGTGTCTGTCTATGCCTAATGTAGTTTTGGCCCGCGTTTAGCTGGATTGTGATCTGTTTATTTGAGAGGATATTTTGGACGTGGCAGCGGAAGAAGCACAGGTGTGAATAAAATCAACTGAATACCATTTAGCTGCTTCACATTCAGGGCGCTGGCATTGTGTCTCGCTTGTACCGAGCCATCACTAATGTTATTAGCCGCACCTTTTGCTTTATCTGAAAGGAACGAGCATCAATGCACAAGGACTGTAAAGCTGAAGTGATGACTGCTCAACTGTCAGAAATTTATTCTGCAAGAATGATCAATTAGTAGTCTGGTGGAATTTTGACCAAAAAAAAAGGAAAGTTCTGGACATTTTGCACCGTTACTACTAATGATTATTGGGTTGCTAATATTCTGCAGATCAATCAGATGTAGAATCAGTGACTAGTTTCAGCCTTTGATGGAAAGCAAACCTGTGTCGGCCGACTCGAGGACAGTGTAATTGTGGTCTCTGAGAAGGAGGGGGCGCTAAAGTCTCACACTGCAAATCCACCATTGGCTTAATGGTGTACTGGAAATGTTCTCCATTTGCATAATTTGTCTAAAAACAAGTGTAAATGTAAAAACATCATTGGTTTACAGTCAGATATCTGCATTAAAGCTCCCACTGTGTGAACATTTTAGTCTCCGGTTTATACCCCCTTAAACTAGATGCCGATAATGATCAACCGTATTAATGCAAAATCCTCGGCTTGCTTGTCAGATAGTTATTCAGGCATTAAGTCAATGACATTCCTCTCCCATTTAAGAACTCAGTGGTAGGTTAACAACCCAAATCTGCGCTTTCCCGCAGCGCACAAATTAAGACTGCTTCTTTTATATCTTATACTCGATGTGTGCGGAGAAAATGCCCTCGTACGACGTGCTTTATTTCTTGGTGCATGCATCTCATCATCTACCGCCATCAACGCCATCATCAAGTTCAGAGGAAGCAAAGAGCCAGGATGATAGAGAAATGTGACCTCGTCAGTCCAGTCACAGCACTTTATTCTCTTCACACAGTGCATTTCCTTAAAACACAATATATAATTTAATATCAATATAAAACTCCATTTGTGTATATAAATTATGCATTCAATACAGCAGCTCTGAGATATACTATTAAGCTTTGGTACAGTGGTACATTTATCTCTGTGAGTGAGGGTATGTTGTGTGTGTGTGTGTGTGTGTGTGTGTGTGTGCGCACAGCCAGGGGGCATCATCGGGAGGAGGGAGGGCTGTAGGTGAGGGTGAGGGTGAGGGGAGGGTGAGTGAGTGAGTGTGAAAAAAGGTGTTTGTGTTAAGTATGTGTGTGGATGAGTTCACACAGAAACAAAAGTATCATCACTCCGTCAGTACTGTGCGTTCCAGGCCGGCGCGCTGAGGTTGCTGCAGCTGGGAGGACGGCAGCTGCCGTGGTGGGCGGGCGGGGGCACGACGCAGCAGTAGCCCGCCTCCCCACCTACCCCGCTCACAACTTTACTTTGGGGAAAGGACACTGAAACGCCTCCCTGCAGAGAGACAAGAGAGGGGGGAAAAAAAGGAGCAAAGTTGGTGCAGAGAATTTGCTACCACAAGCACTTTGTGAAGTGCTAAATGTGTCTTCTGGGGGCTGAACTGTTCGAGTCTGACGCGCAACGGCACCTCTGGGTGTTTTGTGTTTACCTGAACCATGCTACACTGATGGGAGGCAACTGGTGAGTAGGTCCCCAGCACAGCTTGGGGTTGGGTGTGGGAAGACTGCTGCACCCTCACAGCAGGGGCGTATCCTGCTGCAAACACACGTATACAAAAGACAATATTAACAATATATTTCATCGCTGCGGTTTGTTTGGCAAAAGTTTAACACAAGAAATAAGCCACAAGAGATCAATTCAGCTATTTTTGACCAACGTGCAGTTTGGTGGTTAGATGTAGCTTTAACAAACCATTTTGAAAAAGAGAGGGCAAATATTACAAAAAAATATGTAGCCTTAAATGTGTAGCTTGTTTGTTGACAAGCGCTACAAGATACGTAGTCTGTAAATTAGTAAAACCTTTTTATTTATTTATTTATTTTAACTTATGGACTAAAATACAATAGAACATATACAGTAGTTGCACTGAGGTGAAGCTGGTTGGATACATTTTAAAAAAAAAAAATCAATTTAGTGTTTTTATATAAATCTTTATTGGAAACACAGCTTCACAAACACAATCACTTATTTCCCCCTCATTCGCTGAGTCCTGTGGACGGAGTCGTTTGCATTTCTGTTCCAAAGTCTTGAATATTTTTATGCAGTCATTTATTTTACAAACGGCCGCGGATGACAGGAGTGAATTGTGTCTTCTCGCGTTTTGTCACCGTGATGAATAGAAGCAGCAGGAAAAGAGACCGGTTCACTGTGAGACCCTCAGACTACATCTCTGACAGTGTAACGGCCCCCTCCTCTACTGCCGCAGCCTGTTTTCTCGCAGCCTTTCTCACACACAGACAAGTACACAGACAAGGTGAAAAGTACCTGTTGGCTGTGCTGCTTGGCTGTGGATGTGCTGGGTAGGTGAGAGAGGCCTGCATCCATACTGAGCTGAGGTAGGGTACTGGCCGTAATAATACACAGGCACCTATAGGATGGTAATGTTAAAAAAAAAATCATATAGCTCATCGTCGCAGAATCTACACATCCCACGTGACTATAAAATGATTATTTTATTCACTTAATGAACAAGCGACATGATAAATTTTGTTAATC